TCCTCTTAAATTTCCGCCGCCACTGCATTTGGTGCCATTTTTGGCGTGCGGGGGCTAAACACCGCGTGAAATCGTCCATGTCCGCCCTGCCACGCATGCGGCACCAGCTTTAGGCTGTTTTGTGTCATGTTGAAGTGTTTTGTGATATATCTATGTTATGACAAAATAAGTCAGATCAATATTGATCATGCAACACTAACACCGATCAACATCATGCCTAGACAACATAACCGCTACCAAAAACGATCGGATCAAAATGTTGATCTATTGGACCTCTGGGGATGAGCTGGGGGCTGCCGCCGTTTCGGTTCCTCGCGCCACTGCGGCCGCGAGACCGGCTGTGGATCCTGGGTCGAGGCGACGCTGCGCACGGCTTCCTCGGGGATCTAGTGCCCGGGAGCGTGGACCTGCTCGCGGACTTCGTTGAGAGCTTCGCCGACGGCGGGCCCGTCGTCGCGCGCGGCTCTTCCGCCGGCGCTCACTGCATCACGGAGCTCCTGGCGCACGGGCGGCCGCGCATGGAGGCGGTGGCCTTGGGGGGTCTCCACGGCCATGGGCAGCCCTATTTGGCTGGAGTTCCGGCGTGCACGGACCCAGTCGGGAAGTTCCAGGATTACCTGGACCGCTTGGAGGAGCACCCAGGAGTGCCAGGTGGCATCTGGGCCGTGCACGCCCAGGACGACGACCAGTGCCCGAGGCGGCGCGCCGAGGAGGCGCTGGAGGCATTGGGGGCCCGGAATGCGCAGCGGGGCTTCCCGCGGGCGCAGCGCCAGTTGCTGCCGCCAGGCATCCCGCGGGCGCAGTACGAGAACAGCGCGCTCTGGCGAAGGGGGCTGCTCCGCGCGCTGCTGCGCGCGGCCCGCGAGCGCGGCAGCGATGGCGCCGAGCATGTGCTGGGCGAGGTTGCTGGCGGCGCGGCCGGCGCGCCTGGCGCCGCGCGCATCTGGCTGCCGTGCGACGCCGACGCGGCCGGCGACGCGGCCTCCCAGGAGCTCCTCGCGAAGCTCCGCGAGGAGGCGGCGACGCGCCGACGCAACCGGAGCAAGAAGCTTCGGAAGGACGCGTCGGCGCGCCGACGTGGCCAGCCGACGCGCGCGGAGAGGCGGGCGCATCTGCAGGGCTAGTGTCGCGCCCTATCAAATATGACGCGCGTCACTCCCTGCCATCGTCGCCGTCGCCGTCGAGGACGCACGCGGATGACTTGGAGGGGGGTGACGAGGGAGAGGAGAGAGTGGTCGGTGGTGGGGGGTGGCCAGAGGGGTGGCCAGAGGAGAGAGCGGTCGGTGGTACCAGCCGTCCTGTGATATATTCGCCCCCAGCCAACCTCTGGTATGTTTGTCCCCGGCCGTCCTGTGGTATATTTGCCCCCTGCCGACTTGCGATTTGCAGATGCTCCGCGCGCAGGCGGTCTTGCGGGAAGCGAAATCTGGCAGGGCACTTCGGGCTAGGATGTTGTCGGCTTCTACCGTGCCTCCTCCCCTTTCCTCCTTCTCCCCCCCCTCTCGCGGAGTCTTGTCGGGGCTCTGCTCCTCGTGGGGTCTTGTCGAGGCTCTGCTCCTGGAGCCGATCGCCGTCCGTCCTTTCGTACAATGTGATCCAGACCGACGCAAAATGGCGCGCCAGATTTTGCCCCCCGCCGAAATTTGCCCCGCCAGATTCTGCCTCCCGCGCGGCTGCCGTCATCGCCATCATTATCATCAGCATGACCTTCGTCTTCCTCATCTTGAGACATCCTCGCAACGCTGACCTCTGATATGCCCTGCCCCAAATTGTGCTGGCCATTTCCGCCCACGCAAAAACTCGCCTCGTTCACCTGGGGGGGATGTGCCCAGCCTTGAAATAGTCTGACCCCCGATCTGCCCCGGGATGCGATGTTCAGACAACTTTCGCCCGGGGCGCCCTCGCACTTCTGACTTCGGAGGTGCCCTACCCCACGGCGGTCCGACCACTTTCGCCTGCGACATCCTCGCAACAGCGGCTTCCGAGACGCCTATAGCTGACCTCTTCAGGCCACTTTCGTCTGAGACAACGACCTCGCATATGCCTTGCCCCAAGTTGGTTCGGCCACTGTCGCCTGAGACCCTCGCAGGCCCTGCACTACCCGCGCAAAGCATCGCGCGCGGCGGGAGATGCTCGGACCCCTGCGGGACTCCGTCCGCACCAGAGACTCAGGCTGATCAAGCCGAGCCGCCCCAGAGCGGGGTGCGCCGTCCGCGCCAGAGCCAAACACAAAACTCACGCCGTCGCCGTCGCCGTCGTCGTCGTGGCGGGGGACTGACAACCGGCCGATAACCCGATAAACCGATAAACCGATATGCGGCACAAGGATCGCCTCCACAGGTTCCCCCCCAGCGGTCTCAGACCGGCCAGTCAACCGATGAACCGATAAACCGATAAACCGATAAACCGACGAAGAGAGGGGGGCACGCCAGCTATCGCTTCTATGTTCGCATACGAAGATTATCGGTTTTTCGGTTGAGCGACCGATCCACCGATAAACCGATCAAATTATATCGGTTGTTCGGCTGATCGGTTTGCAAACCGTTCAACCGATTAGTTTTTATCGGTTGATCGGTTTATCGGTCGGATGGATTTCCGGAAGCCGTTGCCGCTGCACTCGAAGGTCTTTGGTTTGGATGGGTTTGGCTCAGGAGTGCAATGGACACCCAGAGAACAAGGGAGGGAGGGAATAAGGAAGGGAGGAAAGGGGGGAGGAGGAGGAGCAGGAGCAGGAGGAGGAGGAGAGTCCCCCTCTTGGCTGCTGGCCTCACATCGTGGGAACCGATGGCATGACATGCTGAAAGGCAGAGAAGACCTGAAGACTCGCCGGACTGTGGACAAATCACGGTGGGTTGTTTGTACCCCCGCTGGCGGCCTTCAGGGGGAGATGATGAGGATGAGGATGAGGATGAGGATGAGGATGAGGATGAGGATGATGATGATGATGATGATGACGATGACGATGACGATGACGATGACGATGACGATGACGATGACGATGACGATGGCGAGGAGGATGGGGATGAGGATGAGGATGAGGATGAGGATGAGGATGAGGATGAGGATGGTGATGATGATGATGGTGGTGATGATGATGATGATGATGATGATGAGCCGAGAGCCACATTGTGAAAAGGAACTGCCTTCAATCCGTGAGACTCTTGCATATGTGTGAAACGAATGTATGCGGCGCTGAGGCAAGAGCCACATTTTGAAAACGACCCGCCCTCCATCTGTGAAACTGTTGTCAATGTTTAAGCTTCAGGGTCATAAATTGTAAGGTGAGGAAGTCTCAGGCCAAACGCCGGGACCGCCCTAAAAACTGGCCTCTGGGTGCAACAGGGAAAAGTTATTTATAAGGAAAAGGAATGAAGAGGAGAAGAGGAGGGGGAGGAGAAGGAGGAAGAGAGGAGGAGGAAGGAGGAGGGGGGAAGTGGGGAGGAGAAGGGGGGGGAGGAGGAGGGGGAGTGGAGGAGAGGAGGAAGGGAGGAGGAGGGGAGAGGGAGGAGGAGGAGGAGGGAGGAGGAAGGAGGAGGAGGGAAGGCGGGAGGGGAGAGAGGAGGAGGGAGGAGGAGGAGGAGGAGAAGGGGAAGGAGGAGAAGGGGTCACGGTTCTGTACAACAATCTGCCAGCTGCAGTGCCGTCAGTCGAGAGACTTCTGGCTTCTGCGGCCGTGCAACAAAAAAGTTTGCAGGCGTGTACCTCAAACAGGGATTTCTTACAATATAGGTGGTGCAATCATCGTGGTGCAACGTAGGTGGTGCAATCCACGAGGTGCACAATGTGGCGCAGATCGGTGCAGACGAATGCAAAGCAGCGCAGAGCAATACAATGCAAAGCAATGAGACTGCAGCACGAAGCAACGCGACGCAATGCAACGCGACTACAACTCAAAGCAGCGCAGAGCAATGCAAACCAGAGCAGAGCAATGCAAAGCAACGCGACGACGAGCCAGCTGGGCCGCCACTGCGGCCCAGCTTTGACGGCGGCGACGGGCGGCGACGGCCAGCCCGACCGACATTGGGGCCGAGTTACTTTAGAACAAAAGGAAGACGCCCTTAGTGCAAGCATTGTTTGGGAAACGTCCCTTCATCGGCGACCCTTATGGCAACACGATGGCTGTCTGTCCAGGAGCTGGATGTGCCTCAGGAGGCTGCCGGAGCGCGGCGGAGGGAGAAGGGCGGAGGGAGAGGGGCAGCGAGGGGGTGCGGAGGGGAGGGAGGCCGCAGGGAGTCGGGCGGAGATGAGGAGGGGAGGAGGGACTCCCACCTCCTCTCGTCGTGGCGAAATCCTCGGGGGAGGTTTTGATAAAGTTTCGACCTCCTAGGTCCCTCACCGGGCCCGAGGACCGTCAACAAGTGTTAGCCAGCGAGGAGCCCAAACAGTGCTGTCTTGCAAACTATACTTTGCAATCTAGGTGCTGGAACCCACTGTGTTGTAAAGTAATGCACAGCAGTGCAAAGCAAGGCAAAGCAATGCCATGCAACGCAGCGCACAGCAATGCAATACAAGGCAACGCAATGTGTCGCAATGCAAAGCGATATAAAGCAATGCAACGCACAGCAAAGCCACGCAACGCAAGGCAAAGCAACGTGTCGCAACGCAACGCAATGCAACGCAAAGCAGCACAAGGCAATGCAAGGCGATGAAAAAAACGATGCAGGGCAACGCAACGCGAGGCAAGTCAATGCAGAACAATGCACGGCAATGCAAAGCGCAGCGCAACGCAAAGCAATGCAAACGAACGCTGCGACGGGCTGCGACGATCCGGGCGGACCGCCACTGTGGCCCAACAGCGACGGAAGCGGTGCGCGGCGACGAGCCGGCCAGACCGACACTGGGGCCCGGTTTCCGCAGAGCAGAATTGAGAACCTCCAAGTGCAAGCAATGTTAGAAAAAGCAATGTTCGGATGAGAATCTGGCCCCGGGGAAGGGATCCAGATCTCCAGGGGGTGGGCGGGGGAAGTCACGACGTCGGAGTTCTGGGGAGAGGGGGAGAGGTAAGGGAGGTCCTGGGGGGAGGGGGATGCCGAATTCTTCTATCTTTCTCTGGCTGTTCAGAGACGCAAATTGAGGCTCGCCGCCAGGAGCCTCGAAAGCACACCTATGCTTGGTGTACGTGTGTACATGCACCCGCTTGCGTGCGCACATGAATTCGGAAAAGGCGCCAACGCGATGTTCTCTCTTGCGGTGCATGGTATATTACCATGTCTCGTCTTGCTCTTCTTCCACCCATCGCCCTCGTCGTACCACTCTTGCCTCTCGTCTAGACGTCCTTCGGCCCGCTGTACCGCCTGGCCAGCTTGTCTCGCGGATGGGTAGAGAAACGCGCATTCCTTGTGTGGTTTTCCCACAATCAGCCTCGACCGCCCCCTCCTTACTGCCCTCCTCCTCCTCCGCCTCCTCCTCCTCATCATTCTCCTCCCCCTCCTCTTCCTACGCAGTCCGCAGTCCTCCTCATCCACCCTCCCTCCCCTCTACCCTTCTTCCCAGGGCACAGAATTGAGAGAGAGAGAGAGAGAGAGACAGAGAGAGAGAGAGAGACAGAGAAGACGAAAACTACGGGCAGGTCCCGATGGGGAAACGAAACACGTGAGGGGTGTGCCGACATGGGGCGGGGCCCCCATGCGGACCTTGCCGTTGGGGCCTTCGGTGGAGCTCCTTACGGGGTCACGGAGCGTGTGATGGGCGTGCTGAGTGGGCGTGGAGCCGCCATGCGGACCTCGCCGTTGGTGCCTTCGGTGGAGATCCCTTGGAGCCACGAAACGTTTGAGGGATGTGCCGAAATGGGCGCAGAGCCGCAAGGCGGACCCTGCTACTTGGGCCTCCAGTGGAGCTCCTCTTGGGGCCACGGAACGTGTGAGAGATGTGCTGAATCGGGCGCGGGGCCGCCATGTGGACCCTGCCGCCAGTGCTTGCGGTGGAGCTCCTTATGGGGCCACGAAGCGTGTGAGGGGCGTGCCGAAATCGGTGCAGGGCCTTCACGCGGACCCTGCCGCTGGGGCCTTCGGTGGAGCTCCTTATGGGCCCACGAAGCGTGCAAGGGGTGTGACAAATCGGATGGGTGGAAGACATGCGGCCCCTACCGCCGAGGCCTTCCATGGAATTCCCTATGGGACGACGAAAGGTATGAGGGCTGTGCCGAAATGGGGCGAGGCCGCCATGCGGACCCTGCCGCTGGAGCCTTCGGTGGGGCTCCACGTGAAGCCACGAAGCGCGTGAGGGGTGTGCCGACATGGGTGCGGGGCCGCCATGTGGACCTAGCCGGTGGGGCCTCTGGTGGAGCGTGAGGGGTGCGCTGAATCGGGCGCGGGGCCGCCATGGGGACCTTGCCGCTGGGGCCTTCGGCGGAATTCCCTTATGTGGCCACGAAGCGTGTGAGGGGCGTGCTGAATCGGGTGCGGGGCCGCCATGCGGACCCTGCCGCTGAGGCCCTCCATGGAATAAACCTTATGTGGCCACGAAGCGTACGAGGGGCGTGCTGAATCTGGTGCGGGGCCTCCATGCGGCCCCTGCCGCCAGTGCCGTCGGCGGAATTCCCTTTGGGGCCACGAGACGTGTTAGGGGTGTGCCCGAATGGGGCACGGGGATGAGAGGACGGCCAGGAGGAAGAGAGGAGGAGAAAGCGGGGCGCTGTCTTTTCAAAACGAGGACCCAACACCACAGGATGGTTGGGAAAAAAGGAGAGAGAGAGAGAGAGAGACAGGGAGAGGGAGAGAGAGAGAGAGTGGCAGGAAACAACAAATTGTAGCCAGCGCGGACCCCATACAGCGCGTTCGATTGTATTAGGTGGTGAAGCTATGTGGTGCAAGCTACGTGATGCAAGCTACATGGTGCAAGCTATGTGGTGTAAGCTATGGTGTGCATGCTATGTTGTATGATATCTGCATAGGTATATACATACATACATACATACATACATACATGCATGCATGCATGCATGCATGCATACATACGTACGTACATACATACATACACACACACACACATACATACATACATACATACATACATACATACATACATACATACATACATACATACATACATACATACATACATACATACATACATATATATATGTGTGGATTTCGCAACACGGATGTTCAACAAAAGCGTGCGCGCTCTTGCGAATTCTTAAGCACACCATAAGCTTTTAAATATTTAATCGCTTCGCTCATTCCGCCGGCCCTGGAGCGCTATTTGGGGCCTCTTGGGGCCGTCTTGGCGGCTTCTTGGGGGCTTCTTGGGAGCGTCTTGGGGCTCCTTTGCGGCGTATTGGGCTCCCCTTGGGCTTCTTGGAGGCTCTTGGGGGCCCCTTGGGGCGGGAGGGGGGCAGTCGATTGCGGCCCCCCCCTCGGAGGCCACGATCCTCGTGAGGGTTGGCGGAAACGAGTCCCCCCCCTGGGGATCGCCCGGGGGTCAGCCGGGGATCGGCCGGGGTACTTTTCGTCCGGGGCCCCCCAGGGGCCACCCCGCGCGCGCGAACTCGAAATAGTGATAAGTAGTTACCGGAGATCTTGGCACGCCTCTGGCCCGTTGGGCCGGCGAATTGTTAGAAAATACTACCAAACGGGCTTCGCGCGCGCATGTCGAAATTGCTCGAACGCCTTTGCGCGCGTGCCGTCGCGAGAACCCTCTGCAAACAATTGGACGAAGTGCTCACGCGCGCGTCGTCGCGCGCGCATGGCGAAATCCTCCAAAAACCTTCAGTGTCGGAAGGGTGTCAAAATCGAGTCTCCAAAAAACATACAAAAACACATGGTTTCCCAACACGGATGTTCAACAATAGCGTGCGCGCGCTCTTGCGAGTTCTTAAGAAAACCATAAGTTGTTGTTTCAACATGTTCATAAAATGCTACCATAATGGGCTTCGCGCGCGCGCATGTCGAAATCGTTTCAACGCCCTTGCGCGCGTGCGGGGGTGGCACGGTCCGTGTCGCATAATCCCATGCGAGCCACTCTCGCGCGTCTGCCGCCCGCGCATTTAGAATTCCTTACAAAATCTTCATCACCGACGCGAAGACGCCGTCATCGTCGTCGGCGTGATCGGCATCGGCGTCGTCACTGGCCGTGCCGTCGACGGCTGCCAGCATCGTCACCAACATCGCTACTATCATCATCATCTTGTCTACAATTGTCAGCGTCGCTATGATACCGCAACCGCCCAAGTCGCCGACTCGCGCTCAAGTGCCCGCCTGGATGTGCCGAGCGGTCAGCACCACCGCGGCCGCGTCGGTCGCGCCAAACTACCTGGCCGCTGCGCGCGCGTATGCGCGGGCTGGCGCGGCCGCAGAGATGCACCAGCCAGCGCCAAGCACTCATTGCAATCGCCGCCGCATTTTGTTTGCAAATCAAGTTGCGGGTGGGTGGGTGGGATGTTTGCGCGAGCAATGGAGTGGACAACGCACTGCGAACAGAAATTGGTTCTCCTTTCTAAAAGAAGCATAGACTCTACCCCCCCCCCCGGAGTTAACGGTCCCCCCTGAGGTATTATGATATCATAGTTAATCTGCACACATGTCCATCCTAAATATGAATTCGTACCACCCCAGCCAAACCGGTATCACTCCCTCCCGCCATTCTCTGCAAAAAATATTATGCGCGCACTCTCGTTCATCAAAACTCACACGTTTTCAATAATCCCATGCCAAAAATGGAACGAAGTGCACACGCGCGCGTCGTCGCGCGCGCATGCCGAAATCCTTCCAGAGCCTCCGGTTTCGGAAGGATTGCAAAATCGAGTTTCCAAAACACATGCGGAACACACATTGTTTCGCAACACTAATGTTCTAAAAAAGCTTACGCGCGCTCTCTTGTGAAATCAAGAGAAAACCATAGGTGTGTCAAGATGTTCAAAAGATACTACCAAACGGGCTTCGCGCGCGCGCATGCCGAAATCTTTCGAACGCCCTTGCGCGCGTCCTGTCGCGAGGATCCTCTGAAATACATGGGACGAAGTGCAGACGCGCGCGTCGTCGCGCGCGCATGCCAAAATCCTTCAAAACCTCCAGTTTGGGAAGGAGTTCAAAATCGTGTGTCAAAAAAACATACAAAAACACAAGGTTTCGCAACACGGATTTTCAACAAAAGCGTGCGCGCGCGTTCTTGCGTCGTCGTCGTCGTCGTCGCCGTCCTCCCTCCTCCCTCGTCGTCGTCGTCGCCGTCGCCGTCCTTTGTCTTTCCTCGTCGTCGTCGTCGTCTTGGCGTCGTCGTCGTTTCCGTCGTCGTTGTCGCCGTGGTCGTCCTTCCTCCCTCGTCGTCTTCGTCGGCGTTTCGTCGTTGTCCCTCCTATTTCGTCGCCGTCGTCGTCGTCGTCGCCCGTTTCCTTCCTTTCTCGTCGTTGTCGTCGTCGCCGTCGTCGTCCTCCCTCCTCCCTCGTCGTCGTCGTCGTCTTCGTTGGCGTCGTCGTCGCCGTCTTCGTCGCCGTCGTCGTCGTCGGCGGCGGCGTCGTCGTCGGCGTTGTCATCGTCGCCGTCGTCGTCGTCGTCGGTGTTGTCGTCGTCGTCGTCGAAGTCGTTGGAGACGTCGTCGGTGTCGTCGTAGTCGTTGTCGTCGTCGTCGTCGTCGTTGTCGCTGTCGTCGCCGGCGTCGGCGTCGTTGCCAAGTGCCATGTGGTACCCACCGCCACGGTCTCAAGAGGTCTTGCGACCAAGTTGCGGGTGGGAGGGTGGGATGTTTGCGCGAGCAGTGGAAGAGGACAGCTTCAGGTTGAGCAAGTGATTGATTCTCCTTTCTAAGAACAGAATAGGATCTACCCCCCCCCCCGGCGTTATCATTCCCCCTTTTCGGGTGTGTAAATCATATACGATTATGACCACATGTCCATCCTAAATATGAAATCACAATGTCAAGTTGAGCAGGTGATTGGCTGCACCACGCAGACTGCACCACACAGAAAGCTGCGACCGGACTGGTGCAGCGACGGGCGGCGGCGACGGGCGGCCACGAGCCGGCCGTGCGGCGCACGGGCCCCGTTGCGAGCTTTTTGCACAAGCAGAAATCGTGACCGATAGGGTGCGGCGACGGGCGGCCACAACACGGCAACTCCTCCTCCTCCTCTCTCCTCTCTCCTCCTCTCTCTTCCTCCTCCTCCTCCTCCTCCTCCTCCTCCACCTCCCCCTCCTCCTCCTCCCTCCTCCTCCTCCTCTCTCCTCTTCCTCCTCCCCCTCTTCCTCCTTCTCCTCCTCCTCCTCCTTCTCTCCTTCCTCCTCCTCCTTCCCCTCCTTCTCTCTCCCTCCTCCTCCTCCTCCTCCTCCTCCTCCCAGCTTCTTGTGAGACAAGCAAGGAGCCTGAGTGCAAACATTGCTTACAGAGCAAGCAGAGGTCACAACAGGAGCACGAGGGCGACAGAGAGACAGAAGGGATCAGGAGGAGCAAGAGGGGAGGAGTAAGGGGAGAAGAGAGAAGAGAGGGGGCGGACGTCCACTGTCCCCCTCGTCCTCCCATCTTCCCCCGTCCCGGCGTAATCATGCCCCCCCAGCAGTATAATTATCATCATTACCGCTAGAACGGGTGAGCTGAGAGAATGTGGCCATGGCCGTTGGGCAAGGATGACACGCACAAACCGAGAAGCGCATACTTTCAACATCATTATCAATACCATTACCATCATCGTCATCGTCTTCAGCAAAATCCGCCATCCCTTTCCTCGTGATCACCCTTTCTCCTCATTCGTCATTCCTCCTCCGCGTTCCCTCTCACTCATCCTTCCACACTGTTGTTCCCCCCCGCTTCCCGAACCCCTCTCTCTCTGTCTCTTCCGTGTTGCTCTCTCTCTCTCTCTCTCTCTCCCTCTCCCTTGTTCTTGTTGCTTATCTCTCTCTCTTTCTCTCCCTTTTTCTTGTTGTTTATATATATCTCTCTCTCTCCTTCAATCGCTATGTATAAAAAATGAGTTGGTTCCGGACCCTACATATATATTTGTAGATATAGACCGTTATAGGTCCTCATCGTTCTCTCTCTCTCTCTCTCTCACTCCGCTTGTTTTTGTTATCGACATCTATGTGTATATGCATAAAAATGTAAATGTGGATATGTCTCTCTTACTATTTCGATGTCTCTATATATATATATAGATATATATATATATGTGTATATATATATCGTTGTGTGTATCTCTCTCTCTCTCTCTCGCGGTATCTCTACCTCTCTCTATATATACAGATCCGTAGATTTAACGCATTATGTGTATGTATACATGCACACTATAAACACACATATATATATATATATATGTGTATGTATGTGAGCATACAGTACATACAGACATGTATGTATGTATGTATGTATGTACGTACGTATGGATGGATGGATGGATGTATGCATGCATGTATGTATGTATGTATGTATGTATGTATGTATGATATGTATGCGTGCCCAGCGGTTGTCGCACTTCGAAGGTAAGGGGAACAAGGAAATAGCATTGCTAGACGTGGGCGGGGAAGAAGATGAGCAGCAGCAGTAGGAGCAGGGGGGAAAGACGACGCCAAGGTGACGAAGGAGAGTACGGCGGAGGAGAGGCAGGGGAGCGTGGAGTGTCACAAAGCCAAGTCCCACCCCACGGAGTCCGATTTGGGGGACGATAAAACATCCGGCCCTGGGACGTGTTTTTTATTTATGTTTCACTGCCAACGGGCTCGCCGATCGCACAGCTGGAGATGCAGTCACCCGTGTCCAGTTGCCCGGGTGGGTCGCTCGGCCCGTGCCGGAGGCCGGCCGAGAGCTGCGCCTGCCTCCTGCCCCCCGGAAGGAGGGGGCGGGTCCTGGCTCCGAAAAAAGGTCGAATTCCTCGAAATCCTTAGGCATTCCTAGGAATCCTCAGGAATTCCTAGGAATCCCTAGGAATCCCTCGGAATCCTTTGGAATTCCTAGGAATCCTTGCCTCGAGGAGGTCCCCGAGGGGCTGCGGTGCAGACATTGTTTCCGATGTCGGGCTCGGGGGGCCAAGGAGTCTTCGTGGAGCCAGCCGTGCTCGTCGGATCATGCGCGGGCGTTCCATGCGACCAACCTCCCGCGCCCTCCATGTCTTCCGTGGGGTGGTCGTTTGCAGCAGGTGCGGGGCGGGGGTCGACGTCGAAGGCCTTGAAGTTGAACGCTCCTTGCCTCCCCCCCACACAATTTTTGGTCGGCGGGGCGAGAGCGAACCTCTTCCGCTAAAAGCTAGGCGGGCTACGCACAGCTTTAATTAGGGAGACAGGGCACAGGCAGGCGGGGCCTCAGGCGGCCGGAGTGGGCGGGGCCCGGGGTGCAGGCGGCGCCGAAGAGCTTGCACAGGAACAGGTACGCCGCGGACAGGGACCGGAGGCGAAGATCCGGAGGGTGAGCGAACCTCCCCCCCCCCACAAGCACGGGTAAAGGCGAAGTCGTCGAGACTTCTCGGGGGCCAGTTGCCACAAGGGTTGCAGCGGTGGCCGACGTCCCCTCGAGACTTCCCAGGGGACAGTTGCCACAAGGACTGCAGCGGTGGCCGGCGTCCCCGGCGGCACAGTGCCGCGAAGACTGCGCGCGAGCCGTGGGCGCCGCAGCCCCTCGTATGTCTAGGCAGGGCCGTGTGTTCGGCCCGCGGAGTGCTCGGATCCCCCTTTAGCAGCACGCAGCGTGCAACATCCGACGTAAGCCCAACTTTTTTGGGGTCTGCGGGTCGGGAGCGGGCCCCTTCCGGTCAAGAGCTAAACGGGACGCGGGTAGCCCTGATTGGGGAGACAGGGCGCCGGTGGGCGGGGCCTCAGGCGGCCGGAGGGCTCAGAAAACAGGCGGTGCCGAAGATCTTGCACAGGACAAGGTGCACCATGGAGGTGTAAGCCCAACACGCGTCAACGATGTTGCAATAAGCCCTCCCTCCCAGGTTCCGCCTCAGAGGTGCCACCAAGAATGCAGCCTCATTGCGGGAAGGGCCCCATTGGAAGGCAGCCGTCTGGGAAGTTTCGAATGGCGCCGCAACACCATGTTCTTGGGACTGCAACCCCGCGACGGGACGTTACGGTTGCGTCCTGACGATCATGAGCCGTGCCAGAACCTCATTCCTGGGACTTCAGTACCGCGAATCAACGTAACCGCTGCGCCTTGACAGCCCTACATCGTATCAGAACGCCCTTTCTGGGACTTCCCATATACGAATCTTTGCAGCTGGTATATGCTTAAGACGAATGCACGCGGCGCTAAGGCTAGACCTACAATTTGAAAAGGAGCCGCTTTCCATCCGTGATTTTGCTGCAACCCTGTGAGAAGAACGTGCGCGGCGCTAAGGCTCAAGCCTCGTTTTGAGAACCACCCGCCCTCCATCCGTGAAGCTCGCGCAAACGCTTAAGATGAATGCGCGCGGCGCTAAGGGCGAGAGCAGCTTTTTGACGAATACCCGCCCTCTATCCATGAAACTCTTGCAACGTTTACGACGACTGTGCGCGGCACTCAGACGAAAGCCACTTTTTAAGAACCACCCGCCCTCCATCCGCGAAGCTCCTGCAAACGTTTCAAACGGATGCGCGCGGCGCTGGGGCGAAAACCAAATCTTTAAAGTTGCACACCCTCCATCCGCGAAGCTGTGGCAAGCATTCAAGCCCGATGACCACCGATGGTGAAGAAGTGCCGGGTGAAATGCCCAGCCCGCCCCCACCGACACGTCTCGGGGTGGGATGGGGAAGAGTTTCTTATTCGCATAAAGCTCTTTGAGAGCCAAGAGGGCTTCAGATTAGAAGCCGGCAGCGCAGGATAGCCCAGGAGCTCTTCCTGGCGCCGGTCGAGCAACGTCGCAGCGAATTGCTTGAGCTGGCAGCGTGCTCTGGCAAGCGTTTTCCTACTCGTTCCCAAGACGCGTGCCGGAAGCTTTTTGTCCGCAGTTCCTTCGATGTTCCTTGGGATCTCCTGCGAAGCTCCTGTCTGGAGCTTGCAAGCTCCACAGGCATCCTTTCCAGCATCCTTGCGAGCGTCTCCAGGAGACGCTTCACGCGCTCTGGACTGCACCGCCATCCGGGCATGGGACGCCACAAGCTGTAAGGGAAATGGATGGAGCGACGGAGTGCGTCACTACCCACCAAACCACCCCAACCCAACCCGAAGGCTCAGATTTACCCTCGATTTCCAGTGGGGGGGGGGGCGGGAGACATGGAAAAAACACGTGTGGAACCCTTACCCCCCCCAACCCGAAATTCGGGTCTTCGGGTTGGGTTGGGGTGGTCTGGCAGGTAGTCAGTGCGAGGTGGAGGGCGGCGAGGAGGAGCGCCACGCCGTGAGTGCAGGCCCCGGGCCTCGCCCGTCCACGGGCCTTGCCCTCCGCCGACCACAGTCAGGAGGGGAAAAGACATACAGACACAATGAATCGTCGATACCCCAGAAAAGATGGGAAAATATGGGAAGGAGGGGGGAAGACAAAAAACTCAGAAAATATGGGAAAATATTGGGAATATCTTTATTTGTGTGCATTTATTTGTGTGTCCTGGGGCCTCCTCACACAGGCCTTGCCCTCCGCCGACCTCCTTCGCCCCGCCCCTGGCAGCGCGAGAAGTCGCCCAACGGGCGCCCCTGGGGCTCCCCCGGGGAGGACCGCCACGGAGGCCCATCCCGGTCTTCTTCTCCGCGCCCTCCTCGTCATCGTCAGCCTCGTCATCATTGTCGTCGTCATCATCAGCAGCATCATCATCAGTATCATTATCAGTATCATCATCATCATCATCATCATCATCATCATCATCATCATCATCATCATCATCATCATCATCATCACCATCACCATCATCATCATCATCATCAACAGCAGCAGCAGCATCATCAACATCATCATCATCATCATCATCATCAACATCAACATCAACATCATCATCAGTATCATTATCAGTATCATCATCATCAGCAGCAGCATCATCATCACCATCATCATTGTCGTCATCGTCATCCACATCGTCATCGTCATCGTTTCATCCCGATCCTCCTAGGGGGAGGGATGAGGAGGATCAGAAGGAGGGAGAGCATTAAGGCGGAGCGAACAGTAAGTGGAGGAGGGAGGGAGAAGGGATAGGACCGAGAAGGAGAAGGACAGCAGGGCGGCGTTGCGCCGGTGGCCAGGACCTGGTCGATCGGACGTACTCCGACGTGACCACCCGCGACCGGTGCAGACACAACAAGCCCGCCGCTCTGCTGGGGATATCTTTTTCTTGGCGAGGGCGTCGCGCGCGGGGGCTGCGCGGTACGGGAAAAGGTTATCATTCTTCCCACCACCTCCTCCTCCTCCTCCTCCTCATCCTTCTCCTCCTCCTCCTCCTCCTCCTCCTCCTCCTCCTCCTCCTCCTCCTCTGCCCATCCTGCTCCTCCCTCGTCCCTCCATCATCCGTCCTCCCTCCTCCGCCTCCGCCTCCTCTTCCTCCTACCTCCTCCCTCTCCTCTCCTCCATCCTCATCTTCCTCCTGGCTCCTCATCCTCCTCCCTCCCTCCCTTCCCCATCATCCTCGCTCCTCCCAATTCCCTTTCCCTCTCGATCCCTCTTCCTTACGCTCAATCCCACCTGTCGCACCACCAGAAGTGTCCGTAGGCCACGCCAGACGCTTTGATTGAGACGTAAAAACACGATCAGCCAATTGCAAGGACGGAGGGCCAGTGATTTCCGAAGCGAGGCTCTAACAACAGCGCCGCGCGCACTCGTTTTGTCCAGCTTCCAACAGCTGCAAGGATGGAGGACTGGTGGTCTCCACAATGCGGCTCTCGCCCTGACGGCGCGCACACTCGTGTTTAAAGTGCCCATCAGCTACTTGCGAGCATGGAGGCTGGCTCGGGTTCGTAGCTCACTCCATCCCTCCCCCCCATCCTTCCGACCGCTCGGTGCCCGGGGAACCTTTCAGAGCTATCCTGGAGCTTCTCCAAAGAACCGTTGGGAGCGTTGTTTGGAGCGATCGGTGGCACGCACGGACCCTCGAGCCTCTTTGTCCTGGGGTAGGAGAAGGAGGAAAACAGGAGGAGGAGGAGGAGGGCGAGGAGGAGGAGGAGGAGGAGGAGAAAGCGGAGGACGAGGACGAGCAGGAGGAGGAGGAGGAGGGGGAGGAGGAGGAGGAGGGGGGAGGAGGTAGGAGGAGGGGAGGGAGGAGGAGGGACAGGAGGAGGAGGAGGAGAAGAAGGATGGGGTGGAGGGGGAGGAGGAGGATGAGGGAGGAGGAGGAAGAAGAAGCGGAGGAGGACGAGGACGAGACGAGGCGAGGACGAGGATGCGGAGGAGGGAGGGAGGCGGATGGGAGACAGGAGAGGGGGACGAGGTGGCGGAGAGGAGAAGGAGGAGGAAAGGGGAGGAAGGGAGAAGGATGGCGGAAGAAGGGGGAGGGGAGGAGGAGGAGGAGGCGGATGGGGAGGAGGAGGAGGAGGAGCGGAGGAGGGGGGGAAGTGAAGGAAGGAGGGAGGAGGAGGCAGGAGGAGGAGGAGGAGGAGGAGGAGGAATGAGGAGGCGGAGGAGGAGAAGGCCAGGAAAGGCGGAAGAAGAGGAGGAGGAGGCAGGAGCAGGAGAGGCGGAGGAGGAGGAGGAGAAGGCGGAGGAGGAGGAGGAGGAGGAGACGAATGAAGGATGGGGGGAGGACGGGGATGAGGAGGGGGGAGAGCACGAGGAGAGCCAGAAGAGAAAGAAATAGTGTAGGAGCGGGATGTAGGAACGGGGAGGGAGGAGGGGGAGAGGAGGAGGAGGAGGAGGAGGAGGAGGAGGAGGAGGAGTAGGAGAAGAGGAGGATGGACGAGGACGAGGACCAGGAGGAGGGAGGAGGAGGAGGAGGGGAGGAGGGGGAGGGGAGAAGGAGGGGGGGAGGAGGCGGCGGAGAAGGAGGAGGAAAGGGGGAGTGAAGGGAGAAGACTGGGAGGAAAGAAGGGAGGAGGAAGAAGGGGAGGAGGAGGCGGAGGAGGAGGAGGAGGAGGAGGAGGAGAAGGAGGAGGAGGAGGAGAAGGAGGATGGAGGAGGAGGAGGAGGAAGGAGGTGGGAGAAGGACGGAGGACGAGGAGCGGACGAGGACGAGGAGAGGACGAGGAGACGACGACGAGGAGAATGGAGAGGAGGGGAGGAGAAGGAGCATGGAGTGGGAGGAGGAGGGGGAGGAGGATGGCGACAGCGACAAGGAGGAGTGGAGAGGAGAAGGTGGACGAGGAGGACGAGGATGAGTAGGCCCCTCAGAGCCCTTGGCGGCGCGCGCCTACTTCCCTCTCTGCCCTTCGTGGACACCCCTCACGGCGCCTCGCGGCCCGCGCGCGCGTCCGCCAGCAACGACTGGCGGGTGCCGAGGGACTTCACGCTCATCAGCGCCCGGCTGGAGCGAAAGCTCGAGGTTCGAGGCTCGAGGATCGAAGTTGGATTTGCTGTTCGCCCCGTCTGGGCCTCCAGGGGGGCTCCGTGTGGTCACGGCTGAATCCCCCTCGAAATTCTGGCAGGAGCGCTCCCCAGGGAGGCCTGGGGATCGATCTTTGACCCCCCCCAACGCTGACATCCTCGCCTCGCGACGAAATCAGGACGCGGGTTGTTGTGCAATTTGGGGACTCTGTGGGGGCTCTTGCCAGGCCCTAGGGCCGTCCCAAAGCGACTCGGGATGAAAAAGCCAGTCCCCAGCAGAGGGCCCAGATCTCTGAAGCGCCACGCTGTGAAGAAACCAATGCGTCGGGTGTCCGCGCTGCACGGCAGGCCTGCGCCCCAATCCAGCCCTCCCAGGTGGGGTCCGAGCAGAGGAGGTTGGAGGATCGCGCCGCATCGCCGATGCATCGGCGACCTGGCTCGATGTGAAGCCCAAGTTTCTCCGCGCCGACGGCGCCGATGCATCGCCGACGTCGCCGCTGCATCGCCGATGCGGCGCGATCCTCCGATCCCATCTGCTCGGACCCCCCATGCGGGAGGCCTCTACCCAAGACGAAGCTGTTGGCTTCCTGTGGGTCTCAGGGGGCGGGAAGGGGGCCTCGTCTTAGACCCCCGACGTCTTTTTTTCACGGCGTCGACCCCCAGAGGTCCGGATCCCTTCCCCGGGACCAGGTTTTCGTCCTGTGTCGTCTTTGACAGTCCCAGGGCCGGCGGGGGCCAGCAGAGGCCGAAAAATCAGCGAACAGGTTCCCGTCGGGAGTTTGTTCGCAGCGCGAGGGGGGGGGTCTGGGCTCGTCGCTGCTGCCGAGAGCGGCTCGAGCGAGTCTGGCCACGGTTGGGGAGGAGAGGCATAGGGGAGGGGGATAGGGGGGAGGGGGATAGGGGGATAGGGGGGGGGATAGGGGGGGGGGGATAGGAGAGGCATAGGGGGGAGGGGGATAGGAGAGGCATAGGGGAGGGGGATAGGGGGGGGGGGAGGGGGAATGCATCGACCCCCAATCGCCCATTGGCGCCGATGGGGGCCCGATGGCCCCAGCCCGCCCAGGAAGGCACGGATTCACTATGGGGTGCCCATCGCCGATCCCTCGGCGATGTCTGGCAACTCGTAGAAGAAGGGCGCGCGATGAGGATGCAAGGGCCTCGGAAGGCCATGTCGACACTTTGCGAGCGGGGTGCGGCCAGCGAAAGCGGCCAAGGATGGGCAGAAGAAGAAGGATGCCAGGGGGTAACCTCGGAGTCATCCTTACTATGCGGATCGACTGTATTGCCGTACAGCAAAATCGGCCAAGGGTCGGCGCCTCAGCTCCAACATTGTCTACAAGAGCTTGTTCGCGCCTGCGCATCCCGCGTTGCCCACACCCTGATAATGGCTCGGTCGGACAGCCAGGCCTGGGCCCCTCAGGAGCGAAGAGGCATCACGACTGGATGGTGTGGATATAGCGTGGAGAGCCAAGGCAGAGGACGTTTTGGCAGAAGCACGACGTGGAAAGCCGCGCATCGTTACTATGCGGATTGACTGCATGCCAGTCCCCTACGGCCGCCCACCGCGCTCTGGCTCTGCGCGCCTGGCTGCTGCTGCCCCCCCCTCTCGACCGTCCCCCCCCCTCTTTGATCGCCGGCCAATTCGCTGGTTAGTGCCCCATACCTAGCTTCTCGCTGGAGCGAAGTTCGCCGCCTCGCCGCTGACAAGAAAAAAGCTGTATGCCAGTCCCCCCCGATCGTTGCCACTCGCCCGAAGGGGCCCGCAGAAGCAGATTTCGGGCGCGACGGAGGGGCCCTCCTCGGCGGCAGGTGCGGGCCGCCTCGGAGGCGGGGGCTCGCGGCGCTGGGCGGGGGCGTTCGGGTCCGCGGGCCCTCGGGGCGGGGGCCGTCGGCCAGGCGATCGCAGACATGGATCCAGGGGGCGTGGATTAGCGACGGGCTTCGTTTCCATCGGAAATCGCGGACTTCCGCCGCCGAGCGAGGCGGCACCGGCCGCTTTTGGGGGAGGGCACCTCCCCCGATCCACGGATTCGGCGCGCGGTCGCCAAATCCATGGATTGCCAGTCCATGTCTGCGCGCCCCCGAGGGTGGGGGGGGCCCTCGGGGGCAACAGTCGGGGGCTCAGCTGCCCGGATGTGCCCGTTCTGAAGCGCAACACGCGCCGTGTTCAGAAGGTCCGTGTTCACACGTCGCGTGCTGGCTCGGCGTGCTGGCCCGCGTTTTGGCCAACGCATCGCGCCAAGCGTAAGTTTTCAGTCTACGTGTTGAGCTCCGTGTCGATACGCTGCGTGCTGCGTGTTGCGTATCGGGGCCGCTAATCTTAGGGGGTAACGATAGGCCCAGACTCCCATCGCGTCGTGAAAGAACACGACGGGAGGTCTTTCCCTGTTTTCGGCCTCCGGGGACTATTGCCGGGCCTGGAGAAGGGATCTACACCTCTGGGGGTCGACGTCGTGAAAGAATCACGACGTCGGGGGTTTCGGGGGAGGAGGAGGTTTGAAGTGTTCGGACGGTCTTGGTTCCAGGCTTTCGGGTTTTTCCGCGGTTTTGCGATTCCTCTGCAGTTTTCCAGTCTCGGGATGCCTTTCCCGGCAGCTGCTCCTCGCCGAGCGCGCTCCTGGGGCGCCCAGGTCGTCCCGAACGGCCGCCGGAGAGTCGAGTTGTGACCCGAAAACCAGGTGCAACATTACAGTCGGCCCGGATTAGTAGGTCGATCCTGCCAGCGAGGTCCGAGTAGACGGGGTCAGAGGATCGCGCCACATCGCCGATGCATCTTCGATGCGGCTCGATGTGGAGCCCGATGTTCTCGATGCCGACGGCGCCGATTCATCGCCGACGTCGCCGACGCATCGCCGAGGCTTTGGCGATGCCTCGGCGATGCGGCGCGATCTTTCGACCCCATCCACACGGAATCCCGTGTGGAAGGCCCCTAACTTTATGATGTCCCAACCCACTCTAGCCTTGATCCACAGAAAGAATTCCGAGCACCAAGAAAGTACCGAAACTCGAGGGTTTTCATGTGTCGGGCCCTGGGACACACTCGTTCAACACTGTTTCGACACTGTTTCGACACTTTTCCGGGTGCTTGTACATCCTGCGTCTGGTGGCGGCTTGGCCTCCAGCCTCGGCCTTGGCAGTCTTCGGAGGAGGTGTTTGCAATGCTCTGTGCATGAGTCTGCCAATCGCAGGTCGGCCTGTGTGGGGTTGCCGAATTGCCTGGCGCCAGCTTAATTCGCGGACGGCGCCCGCTTGGGTGCTTCTGAGGCCGTCTTGGGGCGATACTTGCGGCTTCCTGGGCCGTCTTGCAGGTGCTCGAAATTGTTTCTGGGATGTGGTCCTTAAGCACGATGGGATCAGCATAACTCTAATCGAGGAAATCCTGAGGGAAGCATGTCCTGTGGAGGATTTGTTCGCCCTTGTTTGCGACCCCCCCAGGGCCCGGCGCTGGCCCTGGGGCCGTGATGAAAAGCCGGTTTTTGGGGAAGGCGGCCCCAGGGTTGAGTCGGGCCCGTCCCTCTACAGGAGGAATATTCAAAAATAGTCAAAAAAAGGTCTGGGGACGAATTTTCGATTATGTTCTTACCATTTTAAAATTTGTTGTGACAATCCTAAGATTTTCCATCCAAAATCCGCCTGTAGGAGGACATGCCCGACCTTAACCCCACGGCCCGGGGTCCCGCACGCCAAAACAACCAGCGGGACCGCCCATCACGGGCTCCGGTGGGGGCAGAAGCTCCCCCTTCCGAGGTCGCCACGGAGAGCGGGGAACTCGTCGAGCAGGCCTGGGACGGAGGCAAAGCGCTCTAGGGCGATGCAGGACGCTCTGGGAACGCTCCTCGAAGAAGAAAAACCTGCACAAACATGGGTCTCGGAGGTCCGCGCGGGGGGGTCCTGGATCGGCGCTGGGCTCCCCTGGCGGCGCCTCCAGCGCCGCCCCTGGCGCGGTCCGCGCGCCAGGGAGGGGTTTCCTGCGACGGTCCACGAAATCCGCGCGGACCTCCGAGAAAGTATGTTTATGCCGAGGCTTGCTCCTGTGCTTAGCTGCCCCGATACGCCCGAGCTGAAACGTACCGTGTTCAAAACGTCCGTGCTAACACGTTGCGTGTTGGCTCGGTGCGTGTTGGCCCACGTGTTGGCGAACGCTTCGCGCCAGACATACGTGTCCAGTTTACGTGTTGAGCTCCGTGTCGACAGACTACGTGCTGCGTGCTGCGTATCGGAGCAGCTGAGCTCCTGCGGCTCCACAGCGCTCTGGAACGGCACTGGCTCTCGGCGCATCAGCCGTAGCCGCTGAGCAGCCCCACGTCGCGAGCAAAGGCCACGACGTCGGAGGTGTGGGCCCCTCCCCTCAGCATCGTTTGACCGATCCCCATCCCCATCCACATCTCGAGCCCCACCGTCTCACCACCTCGGTTGGGGATATGCCCCTCGAAGCCCGAAGAGAGCAGCCTGTATCCCCATCCAGGGGGGTAAACCGGCCAGTGGCCCCGGCCCACCGCTAGTGGGGACGGGGATCGGTGGAGCGATGCCCACCCCCCGCCCGCCGCGGGGGGCCCCAGTGGTGCGCAGCCAGGCGCCGTCCGCAACGAGAACAGCAAGCTGTGGCTCAAGTACACGTTCCGGAAGGCCGCCCGGGCCCGCCTTCGGCCGGCACCGCCGCTTCTCCGCCGCCTCTGTCGCCAGCTCCTCGTGCGAGGCTCGAGGCTTGCGGGCGGTTACCTTGGCGGGGGGAGGTGTCCCAGCCTTGGGAGGCTCTCCAACAGCTGCGCCTCGCGGAGGGCGTTGGCTGGGGGAGGTTTCCCAGCCTCGGGAGGCTCTCCAGCAGCGGCGCCTCGCGGAGGGCGTTCCCGGGCCGCCAGGATCGTCTCGAAGGGCCGCTGGAGACCCACCCCAGCGATGAGCCGAAAGCCAGAGTCGCCGCGGCGGTGACCGTCGCCGCCGTCGCCGCCGTTCCTCCTCCTTCCCCCCACTTTTCCTCCTCCCCCCCCTCCTCCTCCTTCTCCAGCCAGGGCCCATTCTGATCCGATCGATCCAATGCGAACTCGATTTTGTCGGCCCTATCCGATTCGATTCCGATATCCCGACACGATGCGGCCCTATGTTGGCATGGCTCCGTTTTGCCTCTTGGCGCGGCCGATCCGATTCGATCCCGCCTCCGTGCCGATGCAGCCCGCTCCGACTCACAGTGCGATTCGATCCGATTCTCCTGCTCGACGATCACTGATCCTGCTTTCTCCTCCTCCACCTTCTCTCCTCCTCCCCCTCGCGCAAGGTCCTGCTTTATCCTTTCCTCCCCCTCGCGCAAGGTCTCCTCCTCCGCCTCGCGCAGGGTCCTCCTCCTCCTCCTCCTCCTCCTCCTCCTCCTCCTCCTCCTCCTCCTCCTCCTCCTCCTCCTCCTCCTCCTCCTCTATCCTGTTCTCCACAAGGTCCTGCTGTCTCCTGCTCCTGCTCCGCCCTCCCCGACGCCCTCGCGCCGCGAAGAGGGAGCACGGCGGATGGCGCTTGCCAGTCTGCGGCCTCTGGACGCTCTGGCCGGGCCGGGTCCTCGGGAAGGGGCGCAACTTTTGGGGAGCCACGAGGAAACAAAAGGCAAAAGTAAAACACAACACACAAAACAGACACTAAAAAATAAACAAACACAACACATAACAAAGCAAAACAAAAAAACAGCAACAACAACAACGACAACAACAGCAACAACATTAACAGCAGCAGCAACAACATTAACAGCAGCAACAGCATGATTAACAACAACACCAGCAACAACAACGACAACAACAACATCATCAACAACATGCCGTCGGATTCCTAGGCGCTCCTGCCCGCAGTTCCCTCTCCGCGGCCGCCCTCGCCAAGGGCCCGCCCACCTCCATATGGTGTTGAAGGTTGCCGCTGTTCGCGTCATCCCAGCCTGGGCCCTCCCGCGCGGAGCAATCGCTGGCGCCGCGGCAAAATTGTCTGGGCGCTCTTCCGTCGGCGTCGCGCGAGACTTAGCTGCCCTGGTACGCACGTGTTGAAACGCAACACGCATCGTGTTCCAAACGGCCGTGCTAACACGCTGCGTGTTGCCTCCACGTGTTGGCCACGTCTTGGCGAACGTCTCGCGCCCAACGTGCGTTCTCAGTTCACGTGTTGAGCCCCATACCAATTCGCTACGTGTTGCGTGCTGCGCACCGGGGCGGCCAAGTGCCCGGGCGCTCCTCCTGCGGCTTCGCGCGAGAGTGACCCTCCGCCCGAGCGGCCTCTGGTGCGGGCCCACCAGGGGCACCCCCCCCCGCCACTGCCCAGAGGCGGCTCGTCCGCTCGGCGGCGGCCCCCCGTGGCCTCCGGAGGTGCGCGCAGCGAGGAGGTCACTCCTTGCCCGGGGTGGCTCGAACGTGCAGCCGACCCGCACCGCCCGCGGCTCATTGGGGGCAGCGTTGCGGTCCGACGACGACGATGGCGACGACGACGACGGCGCACGACGACGACGACGACGACGACGACGACGACGCACGACGACCACAACGACGACGACGACGACGACGACGACGACGACGACGACCATGACGACGACGATTAGGACGACGACGACGACGCCGACGCACGACGACGACGACGACGACGATTGGACGACGATGACGACGACGACGAGACGAAGACGACGACGACGACGACGACTGCGGCGACGTGTAGCCGACTCATCCCCCACTTCAGGCTTGGCCGCGATGGCTCCAGTGGCCAGAGGGGGCCCTCCGTGATGCCCCCCTGGTCGCGCGTCTGCTCCCCTCAGTCACGCAGTCTCGCCCCCCAGGATCTCGAGGCCGAGGTCTCTCGTCTCCTCCTCCTCCTCCTCCTCCTCCTCCTCCTCCTCCTCCTCCTCCTCCTTGGAGCTGGGAGCTGGGAGCTGGTGGCAAGTGTGTCACCCTGACGCTGCCATCCTCCTCCCCCTCCACCACCACCTCCTCCTCCTCCTCCTGCACCGCCTCCTCCACCCTCCCCTCATCTTCGTCGATAGCCCTGTGATGTATCTCCTCTCCTCTCCTGTCCTCCTCCTCCTCGCAATCCTCGTCCTCCTCCTGCTCCTCCTCCTCCTCGCCATCCTCGTCCTCCTCCTCCTCCTGCTCCTACGCCTCCACCTTTCCCTCATCTTCCTCGATAGCCATGTGATGTATCTCCTCTCCTCTCCTGTCCTCCTCCCTCTCACCCTCATCCTATTATTCCTCGTCCTTCCTCGTCGTGCCGGCTCGGTCTCACGATTCTGGCAGCAGCGCGATTGGATTCGCCATGCGCGCTGATGGATGCGATGTGGAAGGCCTGCTGCAGGATGCGTTCCGTGGTTGGAGAAGGAGCAGAAGACCTTGTCCCTCGTCTTCCATTCGGAGAAGAAGAAACCACATAAACATAGACTTCTGGCGCTCCAAGAGGATTTCTTGGATCCGCCCCTGGCGCGTTCCGCGCGCCAGAAAAGAGGGTCCAGCGCGAATCCAAGAAACCCGCGCGGAGCGCCAAGAGTTTATCTCTATTTGATGTTGTTCTTCTTCTGTCCACGACATCCGACGTCGTGTTTTTGTCACAGCGTGGGCCCCCAGAGGCCCAGACCCCTTCCCAGGGACGGGCTCCTCCTCCAGGGCCCTTCTCTGACGGCCCTCGCCTGGGGCCCAGTGCATGACCCCCGAAGGCCGAAAAGCGACAAGTCACCAAGCGCGTTCCACTACTCGCAAAGTGCCTACTCGCAAACGTCCGAAAAGCATATGTTTGCGTCGATGAGCTTTGTCGTTACTTTGCGACTAGTGGAACGCGCTCGTCCAACAAGAGCCTCCCGTCGCGATGTCTTCACGCCGCGAGGAGGCTCTGCTTTCTGGCCATCACTCGGGCCTCTGGCTACCGTTAAGTCGGGCCAGTCCCTCCACAGGAGGAATATTCCAAGATAGCCAAAAAATAGTATGGGGACGATTTTTGAGTATTTCTGTTGGACTAGTTATCCTCGAAAATCGGCCTGTAGGGGGACAGGCCCGACCTAAGGCTACCGGTCTCGATGAGCTGGGAATCCCCCCAAACCTCTCGACGAGCCGCAGTTGCCCCAATCGGCGGCGCGGCCGGGGGGGAGGTGAGAAGGGGCGGGCCCTCTCAGAGGGCTCGGAGGCCCCCCGGCTTTCTGAGAAGGTTGCTAAGCCTGCCCCGGAGACACGAGGAAACTCTCAGACAGCCGGAGGGCTTCTCAGAAGCCCCGCCGCCTTCCGAGCAGGCCTTCTCCTTCTCATGTCCCCCCCCCTCGCTCGCTGCCGACCGAAAGCATCGCGAGGCGAGAAGACCTCCAACAGCCGACGAGAGCATGCTGTGCGCATGCGGGTCGTCCCCGTCGACCGAGTGCGCCTTTGGCCCCCAGGGCGGGGCCCCCGCGTCCGGGTGTGCCAGGGGCGCAGTGCTCAGCTCCAGCCGCGTGCTCGCTCGCTCGCTCGCCAGGGGTGCTGCCCCCGATGTGCGCCTCGGCACTGACATGAACCTCATCCTCCTCCTGAGGCGAGTGCGTTCCTCCCCCCCCTCCTCCTCCTCCTCCTCCTCCTCCTCTCCTCCTCCTCCTCTCCTCCTCCTCCTCCTCTCCTCCTCCTCCTCCTCCTCCTCCTCCTCCTCCTCCTCCTCCTCCTCCTCCTCCTCCTCCTCCTCCTCCTCCTCCTCCTCCTCCCCCTCGACCAGGACGACGCGCGGGGAGCTCACCTGTCGTGTCCTGCTCCAGGGTCGTGTGCGGGCAAGCCTGGGGCCAGCGCGGGCCGCCCCGCTCCCCACGGCCACGAAGCAGTCTGTCGACGTGCGCGCCCGTGCGGGGCGTGTGCTGCACGGCAGGCTCGCGTCGCGTCAGCCCGCGGCGACCCCGCCGCCGGCGTGCAGCGTGCAGCGCCGCCCAGGCATGAGCTCCTCTCTTCCTGGGCCCGCCGCCCAGCGCCGCAGGGCCCGCCGCCGCGGCGCCCGGCTCTCTGGGCCCGCCCCCTTCCCCCCGAGGCGTTCCAGCAGAAGGAGCGCGAGCTGGCGGACGAGCTCGGCGCGGAGCCGCCGGCACTCGGCCGCGCGCAGAGGGGGGCAGGGGGGAGGGGGGGAGGCTTCTCAGAAGCACCCAGGCGCAGGGACGAAGGAAGGAGGAAGCAGGGACGCAGGGCAGGGAGGAAGGAGGAAGCAGGGACGCAGGGCGGGGAGGAAGGAGGAGATGGAGGAGGAGGCCGGGAGGGGGCGCCAGTTTTCGTTATTGTCTGTGGCCGTGAGACACCACCGCTTCATATACATGTAAATTAACATAGATGTACACACACACGCGTGCGCGCGTGTGTGTGGGGGGGTCAATAGATGTGCGTACATATGTGTTTATACATGTCTGTTGCTCCTGTGCCCCTGTCATCGCAGGGCGATGTGCACGAGCCTTCGGAGACAGGTGCGGGCTATGCTGGGCCAAGCTCCTCCTATCTGGAGAGAGTGCGCGCATGTGTCATGTGTGTGTGGCTCTTTTGTCGCAGCGATGTGGGTCACACCACGTTCGGCCAGGGCGGGCCCCAGACCAGCGAGGTGCACCTACGCTGTGGGAAAAGCTGACGGGCGGCCGCGGAGGAGGCAGGAGGAGACACGCTCAGAGCAAGAAGCACTCCACGTGCGGCGCTGGCGACCCCCGGCTCCACGAAGGAGTCGTGCGAAGGGGGGCACGTGCGTGCGGCACACCACCCGCACCCTGATACATGTCGTCATCTTCCATGCGAACTGGCTCTGGTCCTTTTTTCTTGCTCGCGTCAGCCACGTCCTGACCACCACTGCCAAAAGCTTGGTGGTAATAGATACGTACGTGTCCCGCCCAAGAACTCGCCGCGTTGGTCGGCCACGCGCCGAGGGGGGGCAGGGGGAGGGGGGAAGGCTTCTTAGAAGCACCCTGCTTCTTAGAAGGCGCGGGCCTTGTCTGTAGATGTAGGGCCCGCGCCTTCTGAGACGCAGCCTCCTTCTAAGAAGCCTCCCCCCCCTCCCCCCTGCCCCCTTGTGCGCGCCGCCAAGTTGGATCGGCCGCGACAGGAAAAAGGGGTGTGGCACACCACCGTGCGAGGGAGCTGCTGCGGGGACCGGGGCGGCTGCTCTCGAGAAGTGGCTGGCCCCATCGTGCCGCCGCCGCCGTCGACGAGCGAGGCCCCCCAGCGCGGGATATAGAGGAGGCGAGAACAATCAAAAACAGACAAACAAACTAACAAACGAACTGACAGCAGAGATCACCCGGACCAAGATATGTATCCTGGGTATCCTGGCGAAAGAAACCCAACGCGTTCAGCAGCACGAAGGAACGCACCTGGAGGACCTGTAGCACCCCCGAACGCTTCGCCAAACAGCGTAGGCCCGCGCCCAGCGTCCCCGAATTCGCTCGCGCACTGCCACGACGCGCATCGGAGACGGGAGGACGACGACGAGTGCGCCGCGGAGCACGGGTGCGGGAGCAGAGAGGGAGCAGGAGGAGGAATCGTGCGGTCCAGGTTTCCTTACCGGAGGCACCCACGGCAGCTCGCAACCCCGCCCCAGCGCTGCGGGCCCGGACGGGACGAGCCTGGATTGAATTCAATCGCGCCGCTCCCGCGAAGCGCGCGGGGCCCAGGCCAAGGATGGCGCGATTGCGGCGCAAGGCCGCGAAGCGCGTGACGAGTGCACCGAGATGGGGCGGGGCGCCACACGGACCCTGCCAGCGGGGCCTTCGATGGAGCTGCCTATGGGGCACGAAATGCGTGAGGGGGGTGCCGAAAGATAGGCGGAGCACCATGCGAACGCGGCCGCCTGGGGCCTTCGGTGGAGCTCAGCGCTCCCTATGGGGCCACGAAACGTGTGGGGGTGCGCCGAAAGCGGCGTGGCGCCATGCGAACCCTGCCATTGGTGCCTTCGGTGAAGCTCCTCATGGGGTCGTGTGAGGGGCGCGCCGAGATGGGAAGAGAATTCGCCTGACGAAGGACCCAACCATATGCAGATGCGAGAACCGCACTGTGGGTACCGATTTCGTTGGAGCTCCTTATGGGGCCACGAACCGTGTAAGGGGGGTGCCGGATTGGATGCGGCGGTGCCATGCGAACCCTCCCATTGGAGCCTTCGGTGGAGCTCCCTATGGGGCCACTAACCGTATGAGGAGTGTACCGAATTGGGCGCGGTGGTGCCATGCGAACCCTCCCATTGGAGCCTTCGGTGGAACTCCCTATGGGGCCACGAAACGTGTGAGGGGTGTGCCGGATTGGATGCGGTGGTGCCATGCGAACCTTCCCGCTGGAGCCTTCGGTGGAGCTCTCTGGGGCCACGAAACGTGTGAGGGGTGTGCCGAACTGGGCGCGGTGGTGCCATGCGAACCTTCCCACTGGAGCCTTCGGTGGAGCTCCCTACGGGGCCACGAACCGTGTCAAGGCGGAGGGCAGAGGCACGGATGGGAGGAGGGAGGAGGGGGAAGAAGGAAGGAGGAACGCGGGGCGCTGTCTCTTTAAAACGAGGGCCCAACAAAACAGGATGGTTGGGAAAAACAGATGATGAGGAGGAAGTGGCGGAGAAAGGAGGGGAGGATGAGAGGAGGGAGAAAGGAGAAAGGCGAAGGAGGGGAGGAGGGGGAAGAGAGGAGAAGGAAGGGAGGAGATGATGAGGAGGATAGGGGGGCAGGAGGAAGGAAGGCAGGGAGAGACGCGCGGCGCTGCGGGCTCAAAGCGGGCACGCAACACACCTGAAGGACCTGGGGGAAGGGCGAAGAGCAGGACGAGGAGAAAGCGGCGTGACGAGAGGGGGGAGGACCAAGCATTTTCTTTCTGAGTGGAGGGCAAAGGGTGAAATCCGAAATGGCGTTTCGATTGATGTTCGATGCTTGACTATGCAAAAGGTGAATCACAAGACGGATTCATTTTCGGGGTGCAAGAGCCCATATGAATTTCACCCTGGGCCCTCCACCCCAAGAAGATGCTCGGGAGGAGCAGGAGGGGGAGTGCGACGCGCGGCGCTGCGAAGCTTCAAGACGAGGATCCAGCACTCAGGAGGTCCGGAAGACTCGCAAAAGCACTGGCAAACAACAACAACAACAACAACAACAACAACAACAATCATTTTACCCGAACGCTCAGTGTTCTCCCCAGTGCCAGGGTTTTCATGCGACGCCAGCCAATACCCCCACTTCGTGGGGGGGCAATGCAAGCTCTACCAAACATCCACACGACTCTCGGGAACCACCCACACCCAGCTTCCCGCCCTATGACGTCAGGACACTTCACTTCGTGGCGCGCGGACGATCGTGGATACTACACTGGCGTGGAGTACACACCCGCAGAGGTTGATCACTTGTTTGGGCCCCGCATGTGCCCCGCATGGTGCATTTGTTGCGTATGACATACATAGTACAGAGAGACAGAGAGAGAGAGAGAGAGAGCAAGACAGAGAGCCAGTGGAGAGAGAGATAGAAAGAGATTCCTCCACAGCTTGGGCAGTGTTGAGTGCCCCCTTGGCGCCCCACTCCGTGCTGAGCCACTTCTGGCATACCCTGGCGTTAGCAGATACAGATAAATGTCCAAGGAGCCACTGCTTCAAGACGGCCCCGTCAGTGGTCCCCTCGGGCATGTCTTTGCGAATACGTTCTCCATACCAGCTCTCCAGATGGCCAGCGTTCTGCACTTGGACAAGCGTGTCTTTCGATGAATACTGCAGTAGCCACGCCGTTGCGACCCTATCTGGCACATACAGTGGTGGATCCAACTGTCGGAGCGCCCGGCATAATTTGTAAGCGGTATTATACTCGATGCCCAGGTGGCGGATGGCAGACCCGTGCTGCTCCTCCAGCTCCTTGGCGCTAGAAATACTGACCTTGCCAGTCACAACCCGATACTTGGCCCACCAAGTCTTGCACGCCTGGTGACTGGCATTGATACCCTTTGCCGCGAGCGCCTGATGCAAATAATACGCACTCTCGCAGTCGGCCAAGGGAGGCCGGGACAGCTCTGCGCCATACTGCTCGTGAAGGTCTTTCGCCGTCAAAGCCATGATCCAAGAACACAGGCGATACCTTGATCCGAGATGGCTACGGATATGAGCGTGAGAGGAAGGGGGGAAGCCTCCTGGGGCCGCTGGGGGTCCTCTTGGGGAAGGGGGGAAGCCTCCTGGCGCCGCATGGGGTCCTCTTGAGAGGCTTTGGGGGGCTTCTTGAAAGCATGTTGGGGCCTCTTGGGGGCTTATTGGATCCTCCCGGAGGACTCTTGGAGCCGCTTGGACGCCTCCTGGGGCCATCTTGGGGGCCTCTTGGAGCCAACTTGGAGCCTCTTTGGAACCTCTTGGGGGCCTCTTGGAGTCCTCTTGGGGCCTCTTGGGACCATCTTGGGCGCCTCTTGCGGCCTCATGGGCGCCTCTTGGGGCCATCTTGAGCGCCTCTTGGGGCCATCTTGGGTTTTAAAGATTCATGAAGAGCCCGCGGGTGGATTTTGATATTTTTCGGATGAGAAAGTCTTGCGTTTGCATATGTTTTCGGAACATCGCATCTTGAAATTATTGAAATCACATTATGTTTGGCAGGATTTCGGCACGCGCGCGCGGCGGCCGCGCGCATGTGCACTTCGTGTCATTTTTTGCAAGGGATGGTGGCCCTCGTAGGCTCGCAACCGTTGTTGCAGAAGGTCGAAGCACCTGAAAAGGTTCCTCGCAAAGGCCCTTTTAACAGAAATGTTTAAAATCTGGTGGGTTTCCTAGGAATCCGCAAGAGCGCGCGGAAGGACATTTTGACAATTTTTTCTGAGAAAACCATTGGGTTTTTGATGTTTTTATGTTAAAATCGCTTACGAAACCTAAGGTTTTGGAAGGATTTCGTCTTGCGCGCACGAATGTCCACTTTACCTTATTTTTTGCAAGGGATTCTTGCAATTTGATCAAGTAAAAACAAGAATTTTCATTTTCTATTGTTTTTTGCAAGGGAAAACGAGCGTCAACAAAAAACCGGATCCGGAGCTCATCCACTTTTCTGAAGCTTTCGCGAAAAAATGATGAAAATGTAGCTGCGGCCTAGGCGCGGCGCAGAGGTCGCGCACCAGGGGTCCCAACAATAATAATTCTT